GTATTTGGGTTTAGTCGGCCCATTTTGAGATCAATTTCAGTGATCCAAATCATTTAATTTTTTAGACTCATTGAGTATAATATTCATGTAAAAAATCAAAACATTGGACATCGATAGCTATATATTTGAATCATATTTATTTTAAAAAAATAGACGATAAATATAATTTTAAAAATGGCCATCCATTTTTTGTAATACAAATGTGATTCAAATATATAATTATCGATATCTGATCATCTTGAGTTTTTTGCATGAATATTCTACTCGACGAATCGTAAAAAATTAAACAGTTTGGATCATGAAAGTCGACTCTGAAATTGGTTTACCAAGCCCAAACGCTCCATCAAGTTAAGATGGTCAACTTGAAAAAAGTCAAATCCATATATATATTATTATATATTATAATAACTATTACATTTTATCACCTGGGATAAAATGTGTATTAGTGAGAAATGAGAGTGATTTTCTTCTCTAACCCTCATTTCGTAGTCACATGATTAGATTTTGTTTTAAATTTAAACAATAGAGTACCAGAAGAGATAGATTAACACTGTGCATAGAATTAACTAGCACAATTTCATATGTTAGAATTAACGTGAAATTTGATATAAAGTGCAGAAGTGTAAAATGTAATTTACTCATTATCAAATGAGGGGGCTTTTGGTAAGGAATCAAAACAAAAACAATATTACGATTTGAAACTTAACTATTGATAATTACTTAAAATTATCATTTTGTAATTTAGATTTATTTTACATATAGACTCACACACTACACAAATTATATTTTACCACATAACCACATACTCAAAAAAATAAATAATAAAGATCTATGTTGCTAGTGTTGATCTAAGTACTGTGGTATATTGGACAACAGTCAAAGCATAGTTAGAACTCAGCAGACACAAATACAGAGAACAACAGGGACCAAATTACACTATGCTGATAGATTCTACTTCCGCCTATTACTGTGGTGTCGTGCCTCCTGATTCAGTAGCTGGAGGCGCAGTAGCCAAAGCACAAGTCTCACTTTAGTACACTGCAATAGAGAATAACATAAATTACCTTGTCTGTTAACTGCAGCTTCTAAGTTTATTTATTTTTTAAACTTACTTTTATATTTATGAACTTTTCTTTATTTTGAGTCAATTTTTTTATTTTTTATTTTTTTGACCCATATAGACTAATGACCGATATATAATATATATATATTATACAGGTATCTAGTTCAACGAACCTAAAAAATATAAAATATGGCTCAAAATTGAAAAAGAAGTTCACTAAACAAAAATAAGAGGAAAAAAACAAGCCAATTTACAAGCCAACCAGTAGACAGAAAGAGCTAAGAAGATACATTATACTTTGCTTTCTGGATTTGAAGTTTGAAATTTTAATGGTTCTAATTGACAATCACGCTAAATTGGAAAACACCAACCAAGCTACAACCCATATGGATAAAATTACTCTCCAGAAGTATAAAAATTTTCTCAATTCGATCATTGCAAATTGCTCATTGATGCATTTAGTTGAAAATCAAGAGAGTAAACATGTTCAGTTTTATCAAACTCGCTTGGATTACTGAGAGGGCATTTCTCTCTTCCTTTTTTTTGACAAGTAATCTATAGCTTAAAGGGGCGTACTAGTGAGAAGGCATTCATAAATGCTACACCTAATACCAAGTGAATGAGGCTAGAGAAAGAAATTATAGGTATATGGGGGCTTGAATTAGGAGAGAAAGGACTTACTTGTATAAATAGGCAGCGTCCCAGGATTACACATAAGAGTATGATATCAATGCAGAAGTTGCGACTAGACCTCAGCTGAAGCATCCAAATCCACATATGTAAAAGCAATTAGGAAGTGACAAAGACAGACCACTATGTTCTAATTTTCTACATAACACACATACCTTCGTCACCGTGTCCTGAGTCGCACATTGGTACTTTAAGGTAGAGGCTGCCCTGTTCAACCTAGAATCAACAATGCTTGATTTAGTGTCAAACATCAATTGAAGGTTTCAAGTTTGACAAATTAATTAACCACCATGCCTAACAATGATTAGAACTACAAGACAGAGTGTCATAAAAGAACTTTCATTCGAGTATATAGCTCCTAGCCCTTTAAGAGTACCAACAGTGGCTTAATCATTACATTGATGCCAATCATTCTACACAGAAAGTTGCTGTTCTGAATGGGTATCGGTGCACTTTTCTCTTGGGACAGTCTAGGTGCACAGAAGAAACAGTACCGAAGAGTACAGACCCTCCCATAGACCTGTGACTGTGAGAGGTTAGTACACTTTTGGGACACTCTACTGTTTCTTCAGTGCTCGTAGCATTGCTCTTTCAATCGACCAATGCCATATTCCCAGACAGATTGAAAGAATCTAAGCCAGTAAAAAGACAAAGAACTTACCTTGTCATCTATTTCATCCATCAACGGCACTTGCCTATCCAATCTTCTTTACATTAGGAATACAAAACTAAAGTTAGAAAACAAGGGTAAGGAAAAAGAAATTACTAAGGACAGTAATTTGTTTAACTGGTTTACAACAAACATCATTACAACCTAAATTAATATTGTTATCAGAATCACTACTATTTCATCTGTTTTTATATTTATTAAAATTTTTAAATCCACTTAATCTAATAAGCACAAAATTTGTGAAAACTTCTGCGCGCTAAAAAATATGAAAACGTATATAAAAATTCAGTAAATTTTTATACTTTTTTGCTTTTATTGATTTTTTTAAAAAATTTATCAAAAATATTTTATTTTTGGAATACATATAAATTAGATCATCTCAAAAATTAATAAATAGACTAAGCTATTAAAAAGTTAACTGAAAAAAAAAAACACATATTGAAAACTTAAAAATTGTTTTTGAAAACTTAAAACCTCACAAAGTTATTTTTGAGTTTATTTATTTATTTTATTTTTAGTAAAAAAAATCAAGTTCTTGTCAGAAATTTTTAAATGCACATAATCTAAATGCACCTAAAAAATAAAATATTTGTGAAAAAAATTCAAAAATTAACTTTAAAAAAAAATTGCTCTTTTTTTGGCTTTAGTGAATTTATTTCAAATTTGGTCCCTAATATTTTACTTTTTAAATGTATCTAAGAATTAGATTTGTTTTGACAAAAACATTAAAAAAAAATACAAAAAATTAAAACAAAAAAATCAATAACAGTTGTCAAAGGGTAAATTACACTTTGCACCCTTACATTTTGTATCAAATCTCAGTTTAGTCCCTATATTTAAAATTGTGACATTCAACCCCTTACGCTTTTAGTCAAGTGTCAGTGTCCCTTTTTATTACTATATAAGTCTTTAAGGGAAGTCGCTAATGTAACAAACACATGATTATGAAATGAGGGCAAATGAAGAAAATCACTCACATTTTTCGTCTATACACATTTCATCCCAAAATGTATAAAATTATGATTGTATTTGGCTAAAAAAAATGTAAATTGTGAACAATTAAGGAGATAAACTAAGGTTTTGCAGAAATTGAAATCAAGAAACTCTGTTTTTCATAATAACACAGTCTTTCATTTATTCCTCTTTCTTTCTTTTCAATTTGCGTACTACTTTTTTTTATTTCAAAAACTCTATTTTCTTAACTTTTCGTTCATATTTTTAGCATGTGAACATATATATATATATATATATGTATGGATGTAATCGGTTCGGTACGATTAATATTTAGGTAAAATTTTTCATCAAACCAATAATGTTGATTTTGTTTTTTTAAGTACTGATACAAACCACTTCTTCCATCAAACTGTACCATACCATAACAATTGAAATGGTTTGGTTTCGTGCGTTTAATCAACCTAGAACATTTCAAATTTAAGTCACTTTTTACTATAATCACTAATCTATGTAAAAATAATTAATTAACCGTTTGTCCACTATTTAACACTTATCCAATCATTCCATTTAATAAATACTTTCTAATTCCTAGAGTAACAAAAATATAAACAAAAAATAAAATAAAATAAACACTAAGGATTTATTAACTTAGGTTATAGGAATGATAATATTAATTAACTGAGGTTAATAATTTATTATATTTATTAATATCATTATTATATTATATTATATGTTTCAGTTTAGTTTGATACACAAGGTGCTTGAATCGGTATTGAACTAAAAATAGAAAAAAAAAATCAAATTAAAAACCTACATAGACCGATTATTGTTAAAAAAATCGAGCAAATATGGCCGGTTTGGTCCGATTCAATCCGTTTGGTCAGTTTTTTTAATTTTTCTTACATAATATATAGAGTTTGGCTTTTCTTGAGAGAGTATTTGGGTTTAGTCGGCCCATTTTGAGATCAATTTCAGTGATCCAAATCATTTAATTTTTTAGACTCATTGAGTATAATATTCATGTAAAAAATCAAAACATTGGACATCGATAGCTATATATTTGAATCATATTTATTTTAAAAAAATAGACGATAAATATAATTTTAAAAATGGCCATCCATTTTTTGTAATACAAATGTGATTCAAATATATAATTATCGATATCTGATCATCTTGAGTTTTTTGCATGAATATCCTACTCGACGAATCGTAAAAATTAAACAGTTTGGATCATGAAAGTCGACTCTGAAATTGGTTTACCAAGCCCAAACGCTCCATCAAGTTAAGATGGTCAACTTGAAAAAAGTCAAATCCATATATATATATATATATATTATATAACTATTACATTTTATCACCTGGGATAAAATGTGTATTAGTGAGAAATGAGAGTGATTTTCTTCTCTAACCCTCATTTCGTAGTCACATGATTAGATTTTGTTTAAAATTTAAACAATAGAGTACCAGAAGAGGTAGATTAACACTTGTGCATAGAATTAACTATCACAATTTCATATGTTAGAATTAACGTGAAATTTGATATAAAGTGCAGAAGTGTAAAATGTAATTTACTCATTATCAAATGAGGGGGCTTTTTGGTAAGGAATCAAAACAAAAACAATATTACGATTTGAAACTTAACTATTGATAAATTACTTAAAATTATCATTTTGTAATTTAGATTTATTTTACATATAGACTCCACATTACACAAATTTAATTTTCACCACATAACCACGTATTCAAAAAAATAAATAAATAAAAGATCTATGTTGCTAGTGTTGATCTAAAGTACTGTGGTATATTGGACAACAGTCAAAGCATAGTTAGAACTCAGCAGACACAAATACAGAGAACAACAGGGACCAAATTACACTATGCTGATAGATTCTACTTCCGCCTATTACTGTGGTGTCGTGCCTCCTGATTCAGTAAGCTGGAGGCGCAGTAGCCAAAGCACAAGTCTCACTTTAGTACACTGCAATAGAGTAACATAAAATTACCTTGTCTGTTAACTGCAGCTTCTAAGTTTATTTATTTTTTAAACTTACTTTTATATTTATGAACTTTTTCTTTATTTTGAGTCAATTTTTTTATTTTTTATTTTTTTGACCCATATAGACTAATGACCGATATATATATATATATACAGGATTATCTAGTCTAAACGAACCTAAAAAATATAAAATATGGCTCAAAATTGAAAAAGAAGTTCACTAAACAAAAATAAGAGGAAAAAAACAAGCCAATTTACAAGCCAACCAGTAGAAAGAAAGAGCTAAGAAGTACATTATACTTTGCTTTCTGGATTTGAAGTTTGAAATTTTAATGGTCTAATTGACAATCACGCTAAATTGGAAACACCAACCAAGCTACAACCCATATGACTAATTACTCTCCAGAGTATAAAATTTTCTCAATTCGATCATTGCAAATTGCTCATTGATGCATTTAGTTGGAAAATCAAGGAGTAAACATGTTCAGTTTTATCAAACTGGCTTGGATTACTGAGAGGGCATTTCTCTCTACTTTTTTTTTGACAAGTAATCTATAGCTTAAAGGGGCGTACTAGTGAGAAGGCATTCATAAATGCTACACCTAATACCAAGTGAATGAGGCTAGAGAAAGAAATTTATAGGTTATGGGGCTTGAATTAGGAGAATGGACTTACTTGTATAAATAGGCAGCGATTCCCAGGATTACACATAAGAGTATGATATCAATGCAGAAGTTGCGACTAGACCTCAGCTGAAGCATCAAAATCCACATATGTAAAAGCAATTAGGAAGTGACAAAGACAGACCACTATGTTCTAATTTTCTACATAACACACATACCTTCGTCACCGTGTCCTTGAGTCGCACATTGGTACTTTTAAGGTCAGAGGCTGCCCTGTCAACCTAGAATCAACAATGCTTGATTTAGTGTCAAACATCAATTGAAGGTTTCAAGTTTGACAAATTAATTAACCACCATGCCTAACAATGATTAGAACTACAAGACAAGAGTGTCATAAAAGAACTTTCATTCGAGTATATAGCTCCTAGCCCTTTAAGAGTACCAACAGTGGCTTCAATCATTATCATGATGCCAATCATCTACACAGAAAGTTGCTGTTCTGAATGGGTATCGGTGCACTTTTTCTCTTGGGACAGTCTAGGTGCACAGAAGAAACAGTACCGAAGAGTACAGACCTCCCATAGACCTGTGACTGTGAGAGGTTAGTACACTTTTGGGACACTCTACTGTTTCTTCAGTGCTCGTAGCATTGCTCTTTTCAATCGACCAATGCCATATTCCCAGACAGATTGAAAGAATCTAAGCCAGTAAAAAGACAAAGAACTTACCTTGTCATCTATTTCATCCATCAACGGCACTTGCCTATCCAATTCCTTTACATTAGGAATACAAAACTAAAGTTAGAAACAAGGGTAAGGAAAAGAAATACTTGTGTCTATTTTTAAAAGTATGCAAACCTCATTTATGTCATGAGCCATGTTTTTCAATGTATCCAATCCTTCTGCTATAACATCCAATCCTTCATCCTGCATGAAGTCAAATAATTCCATGCATGAGAATTTTCAGTTAAGGCCATCTAGCAAAGGTTACCAACCAATAGAACCAATTCTTGACAATTTATCATGTTCAACCAACAACCCTTATGAAGCACCGACACTTCAAAATTGGTGTTGTAGCAAAGTCAGACAACACGAACACGGCAGGGACATGTGTCCAACATGCCACATGGTGTGTCTATCTATTGCAATAATCTTTTTCACTGCACAATTGATCACAACTAATGGCTAGGCCTGTATATTTTGTGCAAGGAAAATGCTACATATAGTCTCATTTTTTACCACTTTTTCTCACCTTTAAGCACAAGTTCATCAGTCCCATGTGTATTTATTAACGTGAGTCCTATTACCTTGTTTTATGAGTGAAAAAATGGGATAAGAAATGGGATTACACATAGCATTACTCTCTGTAATTGACCATGTTTAGCCAATCTGGATGTGGCAATGTAACTCTCTTTTTCCTTTTTCTTTTTTTGAGTGTTTGGAAATTTGTTGTTAGATGATGAAATAGCACAACATATCCTTCTATAACATGTGGGTAACGACTAAAATATATAGTTGCATGTTAAAAACTGGTATTCTTCAAGACAGTTCCCTAATATCTGCTAGGTCCAAATAAGAGGTAGTGGATCTCCTCACAAGTGATTAAACATGTCATCAAACGATTAGCCAAAGAAAAACAGATATAGAGAGGGGGAGGCAAAGCACCACAAGTGCTATTAACAGAGAGAAGATAACAAATTACACATACATATTAAGTAAAACACATGCCTGTTTCATTTTCCGCATTTCATACTCGTTCCTAAAATTGTTTGATTCCTCAGTTTGCTGAAAGTACTCGCTATCATATCTTCTATCTGATATAATCTCTAGACAATGTTAAAATATGAAAAGAATCTAAGGGGGTAATATTGAATCAACTCCAACACATTTCATAGCTTACCTGAAGTAGTGTCAAATTTAATTCCTGTGCTTGAGGCTGAAGCTGCCCATTCACCTGTTTGTTTAGCTCCATTTGTGGACCCATCAGGGATAGCTTCAATCCTCTCTTTCAGCGCAGAAACTGAATCAGTTCGAGCCTCAAGTTCCTCTTTTGAAAGCCCTTTGACCTGAACAACAATCATTAACATTATTACTGTCATAACTAACGATAACTAACGACAGAGTAAATTAACATCAATGAGTACATAAGTGGTTCATAAAGGCATGTATCAATTCAGGAATTGCAAATTTCATTTTCAGCAAGATTCAAAATAACTGAGCTAAAACCTACAAATTTCTTGCACAAGAGAAGAAGATTAAGGTAATAAAATGGTACAACAAAAAACCAGAAGTTTTTCAGTAAAATCGATTATATGAGGCACAGTGGACTTGCCACATATTCCAATAAGCATAGATACGGACACATGACACGACACGGACATGTAAATTTTAACAAAATGCAAAACATGACACGTTGGGGACACGTGCAAAACATATAATATTTATTTTATGTCAAATATTTAATTTTTTCAAATTTATCAACCTTAGGTATACTATTTTAATAATAAAATTAAAATATATATATTTTAAAAAAAAATGATCACGTGTCCCAACATGTTCATGTCCGACATGTGTCAGACACCAATACGTCACCTCCGGAGAGGTGTCTATGCTTCATAGCACATATTATTCATAGTAATATAATGCGTGCACAATTGTTCCAAATAATTTTATAAATAACAAAGGAATTTGACATTTTTAAAAAAATTCAAGAAATGTTCTATTTAATTTTACTAGGAAAGCTTAGTAAAAGAATTTATAATCACCTAGAGGAAGGGAAAACTAAAATCTCCACTAAACGAAAGCCGAATACATAAATATCGCTTTAAATAGGTTCCAATTTTCATCCTTTCTAAGGAAGTCAAATTAATATATAACGAAAACAAAAATGCTACGATGACAAAGTTTGAGCATCATATAATTTGAACCAATTCACTGGTGCAATACATGAAAGGTGAGACCCATATTGGTGATACATCGTTCAACTTTGCTAGGCACACACCTATTTATGCTTAAATGAGTGCGTGTCTATCTTTTCTTCACATCATTTCATATCAACTTTTGTGCTCAAATTTTGTCACATTAGCATTGTAACACAATATCATATCCTATTTGAGTAATGATATATAAATAAAAATTATACAAAATGATTTATTTATTTCAAATAAAAAATCAAAACACTCATCAGCTTATTATTTAAAAAATGTCATGACACACCATTCTTTACACGATTTTTATTTGCAAATAATTTTCTTTAAAATACAAAAGGAAAAATTGTAAAAAAAACCCCAAAGTTTGAGCCTTTTAAAAAAATAAATCCTGAGTTTTCAATTTTGTTAATTTAAACTTTAATCTTTTGATTTGTTTTCAGACTAAATCATTTGTCTATTTTTGTTAAATAAAACCGATGAAAAAAGAATATTTTAGTCATTAAACTCAATGTAGATATATATAAAATGTCTAAAATATCATTTTTGGATTGATTTTATTTAACGAAAATAGACAAATAATTTGAATTAAAAATAAATCAAAAGTCCAGATTTTAATTAATAAAATTAAAAATTTAAGGTTTATTTTGTTATGAAAAATGCTTCGTAACTCGAATTTGCGTGGTCCGAATGGCTCGAATGTATCAAAACGATGTCGTTTTGCCCCCCAAAACGATGTCGTTTTGAGACATTCGAGCCATGAAAATTCGGGCTACCAATTATTGTTAATTTATTTATTACTCTTTCCTTCCGTCACAAAATATTAGTTTCGGAATTTAATTTTTGATAATACAATTATTACACTTTAAAAATATTAACTTTTTAAAATCATCTTTTAAATTTTTTTAGACTAAATCATTTGTCTATTTTTGTTAAGTAAAACCGATGAAAAAAGAATATTTTAGTCATTAAACTCAATGTAGATATATATAAAATGTCTAAAATATCATTTTTGGATTGATTTTACTTAACGAAAATAGACAAATAATTTAAATTAAAAATAAATCAAAAGTCCAGATTTAAATTAATAAAATTAAAAGTTTAAGGTTTATTTTGTTATGAAATATGCTTCGTAACTCAAATTTGCGTGGTCCGAATGGCTCGAATGTATCAAAACGATGTTGTTTTGCCTCCAAAACGATGTTGTTTTGAGACATTCAAGCCATTCCCGCCATAAAAATTCGGGCTATTAATCATTGTTGTTTTGTTATTAGGGTCAAACATCGGATTTTTATTTTTTTGTAATTTCACTTTTCCTCCAATTTCTAAGCAACGAAACAGAAAGTAGTGATCAGAGGAATCAAGCAGAAACGCAAACTACACACACACATATATAGCAGTGAAGAAACGACCTTTTTAAGAGCAAGTCGTTGCAATTTGGGGAGTTCCTGGATCAATCGAGCCTTGGTCCGTCGAATCTCGGCGTTGATAGCCACAGCCGTTGCCCTGTTTTTCTCCGCTGGTACAGATTCCAATTTCTACACAATATTATTCAAATACATAATTTACACCGAATGAGAGAAGAGAACAACTCCGAACCGTAAGAAAATACAATTGAGAGAGAAGGGGGGACCTGACCTGGAGGGCTTGATCGAGGTCGGAGTCGAAGACAGAGTAGAGACGAGCGAAAGCATCGTCGCCGGAGACGTTGACCTCCTTCTGCTTGTCGGTGTCGTACTTTTCGTATTTCTTGCATATCGCTTCCACTCGAGTTATCAGGTCGATCACACTCATCTTCTCTCTCTCTATCTCTCTCTCTCTCTCTCTCTCTAGAACTGTATATAGAATATATGTATGTATAACTATGGCTTTTCTGTTGAGAGGCTCTGCCTCTGTGTTTCTCTTTCTCTCTCTAGTTTTTTCAGAGAGAGAGAGAGAGAGAGTGATCGCTGTAAGGTGGCGGCAAGAGAGAGAGAGACGGAGGGGACGAGAAAAAGTTTAAACAATAGACCAAAAAATAGTTCGCTGCGAGTCTGGTAGTTTCGAAATCTTACGGTAACTGTCGACAGTTTGATTTTCGGGTCGGGTCGACCTGGACCGGGCTCCTCACAAAAAATGGTGTCCAACCCAAACTCGTTCATGGATTAAGCCCGACGGCCTTCTTGGTGGGCGGGGTTAGGATTGGGCCTACGAGGTTTCAATTGTGTTCCGTTTGTTTGCCGAACTCGATATATTTTGGTCAAGTTTGACATACACAAAATAATTTATCTTTTTATCTTTTTATTTTTTTTATTTCTCTATTTTTTTACACATCTTTTCGTAAAAAGACAAAAAATACACTTATTTAGGTCATCCCAAACAACCCCTTATTCTTTAGGTTTGGCTTTAATTTTCTGAACTCAGTTTTTTGAAAACTAATAGTAATTTGAGATGATCTAAATAAATATATTTTTAATTTTTTGTGAAATATGGGTTGAGTATGGATTGGGTTTGAAGTGATGTGGTAGAGAGGTGATGCGACTTAAATAAGATGATATGTCTTAAATAGGATAGTGACTTTTTGACTTTTTAAAGTACCCCAAACACGGCCTAAAATTTTTGTTTTTAGAGAATTTTTTTTAAATTTTAAGATTTTTTTTTTTTTAGATGCACTATATCTAAGTAGTAAAATATTTGTGAAAAAAATATTTTAAAAAATTAATAAATACACAAAAATATAAAAAAATATATATTGAATTTTCATTTTTTTTTTTGTATTTTTGGTATTTAGTGTATTTTTTAAAGATTTTTTCATAACTATTATACTTTTTAAGTGTAATTATGTTAGATGTGTCTAAAAAAAATTTAAAAAATGCTTAAAATATTAAAAAAATCATTGAAAATATTAAAATAAAGAAAATAAAAAAGTAAAATTTTCAAAAAATTATTCACTGAAAATCAGAACCAAACAAAGTGATCGTATTGTAGAATTGAATGAAGGAATTATTGTTGTGGTAGTATTTTATATTAAAGATGTAAAATAGATTATGGCCCTATTTGGGGACCTGAGTTTTTGGGAGATTCTATTTACATCTAAAAAGTCATTAAGAGCATCTCCAACGGTAATAGGTATAAATATTACTATAAAATATATATTTTATTTTGCCTATCAACTATTTCATATTTCTACTCCAACCATGCTCTTTATTTTAGCTGTTTATCTAAATACTATTAATTTTAAAAAAGGCCACATCAACAACAAAGATGGAGGGAAATGATCCTAATGATTAAATTCATTTTGCCTAACTGTGAAGTCTAGCTATATGTAGCTAGTTAATGTGAGTTGAGCTAAAATGCCTAATCATATGCCTAGTGCATTGGAGTTGAAAAAAATGAGTTATACTAGGAATTTTAACTAACAAGCATTATATACCTAGTGGGGAGATGCTCTAACTATGCTTAATTTCTTAATACACCTTATTAGATTATTTAGGATTATATAATTTATTCTCAGTACACTCTATTATTTTTTATCCAAATTATCCTGCAAGGTACACCTAAATAATAAATAAATCAAAAATCTTAAATTAAATCTCTTTGAAAAGCACAATGCCTCCACAAATATCAATTAAATCCATTAATATTAAATGTTGATATGGTAAATGGGGTCAAGGAGGTGGAGCATGGGGTAGGTATGCTTATACATGATTTGCTTCAGTTAGGAATGTGACCAGATGCGCTATGGTAGAAGGGTTGGGAATAAGGTTGCACATTTAATGGCTAAGTTTGGGATTAGCAGAAGTGGGTGCTGTACACGGGACAGTGTCCCTCCTTGGTGGTTGTTAGGTTTTCTCAGGAGTGAGGATGATGATGTGTATTGTGTTTCAATTATCTATAATATCTTTGATGTCATTCTAATCAAAAAATATATATATGTGTGTGAGTGATTTTCCGATCACACAGCCCAACTTAGTACTCAACTGGAGAACATCAGCAGAATAGATTAAGCCCGAATGACCTGTCACAAAAAGATGAGAATCCCGTGGTGGCTCGTCCACCCGGGGGCACTCCGACAATCAAGTCATTACTCAATATCTCTCAAAGATAACCAATAGTGCTTAACTCATTAGACAGAATATCAAAAGCATAAATGACATACCTTAGACCCATGAGGGTGCCTCTCTTTTATAGCCAACATAATCCTAGTCCCAATAGAAGCCTAGTTCCAATGGACTTAGGATTACTGCTAATCTTTGACTCCCAGTTGAATTAGGATAAACTCTCTAAGAGTCTTATCTTAATCCAAACTGAAGTCTTCTCCCATTCTAGGACTCTTGTCCCTTATCTGCTTATCTCGGATTCCGGTATCTTCGGAGATAACCTCGGCCTTGCCAAGATCACCTCGACGTCATGACCAGGACACGTGGCACCTCGGCTGGCACTTCGGTGACACCTCGACCATGCGTCGTTATTCAAAATTTTTATGTCCCCACAACTGCCCCCTAGGTTCTATTACCTCGGCATCCTGAGGTGATGGAACCTATATCATTCCTTCCTTTAATCATGACCCCGGTTTAACTTCAACTTGTAAACTTTTCTCAAGTTTCAACAAGTGTTAAACATAATCTCGGTTTTACTTTAACTTGTAAACTTTTCTCAAGTTTCTACAAGTGTTAAACATAATCTTGGTTTAACTTCAACTTGTAAACTTTTCTCAAGTTTCAACAAGTGTTAAACAATGATTTTAGTTTAACTTCAACTTGTAAATTGTTCACAAATTTCAACAAATGTTAAACAATGATTTTGGTTTAACTTTAACTTGTAAATTGTCCACAAATTTCAACAAGTGTTAAACAATGATTTCGTTTTAACTTCAACTTGTAAATTGTCCACAAATTTCAACAAGTGTTAAACATCATCTCGACAAGCTCTTCTTCTCAGACTTAATCATCTAAGGCCGAGATCCTGTCTTCTGGGATCTGGGATCCGAGATCTGAAATCCGAGATCGGCTTACTTATGCTGAGCTCTTGTCTTCTCATATCCAGTGTTATCTCGGCTTCGCTATGGCGAACCATTCTTCTCTGGTTTGGACGCCTTTGTCCCCGGCGTGTCCTCCTCGGCTCTGCCATACTTTTCTATCCTGACCATCAGCTCCTCCATGTTTTTTTGCAATGTCTTTGCCAGTGATTTTCGAAGCAGGTAGTCATCCTTCAAGCCATTTTTAAACAACACGATCGCCACCTCTTGGTTGCATCCTGGTATTCGGTTGAATACCTCATAATACCTTTTGGCATAGGCCCTAAGGCTTTCATCCTCGCCTATCTTCAGGGCCATTAGGGCATCCACCCTCAATGGCTATAGCTTGTTTGTCACGAACCTGGCCACAAACATCTCGGCCAGGCCTTCCCAGGTTTTCACAATTCCTTTCGGCAACTTGTGAAACCAGTCCAATGCAATTTTCCCGAATGATGAGGGGAACACTTTGCAGAGCAACGACTCGTTCCCAGTGTATAACACCATCGCGTTCAGGTATAATCCGACATGAAAGTTGGGGTCTGACTTCCCATCGTATATCTAGAACCTCGGCATATTGAATCTCTTTGGGCTTTCGAATTTGTCCAATTCTACCAAGAACGGTGTCCTCGGCTTGACAGGTGAGGTCACCTCGGCATCTTGTTGCTTTCTCTGGAGGAAATTCCTCAGATCCTCCTTGGTTCGTCCAGGAGCTCGGCTATCTCTGGATTTCAGCCTCTTTGGTGCACTACTTCCTGTGTCATTATGAGTACTTTTGGACCTCCCTCCATTGGTCGCGTCGAAACAGAGGTCCTTCCCCTGAACATGCCGATGTTCTTTGGAGTCAGCTTCCTTGGTGCGATGTGTCCTCTGTGAATCTCCCCTTCTTGATTCTCCTTGTCCGACCTCCCTCGAAGGCCGGTGAGAATGTTCCTTGGTCCTATCGTGCTGAGGAGTCGTAGGAGTTGTCTTCTGCCCCCCTGCCTGGGCATCTTTCTTGGCTGCTGGAATCGGCGTGTCTTGTGACGAGAACAGTGGCTGCATGACGTTGTTCTGCATCATGAAATTGACGACCGTTTGCAAGTCTGCCAATTTGTTCGCCATGCCCTTTATCTCGTCGTCCCTCCGTAGGCATCTATCTTTCCATACCTGGAGGTCGTCCTCATTATAATACCTGCTCCGGTCCGATTTCTTCGGTTCGCCACCCTCTTGGCCGACGTCGTTTCCTCCGTGATTCTTACCACGAGTCTCTTCGTTGCAGTTGTCTTCTTCGACGTCAAGGTCAATATGTTTCCCACTCTCAGTAGGGGTGTCGTCCCCAACCTTCTCTTTCGGTCTGTCGTTGGTCATCTATTCTCCTTTTGTTCCCACAGACGGCGTCAAATTGTGTGAGTGATTTTCCGATCACACAGCCCAACTTAGTACTCAGCTGGAGAACACCGGCAGAATAGATTAAGCCCGAACAACCTGTCACGGAAAGATGAGAATCCCGCGGTGGCTCGTCCACCCGGGGGCACTCCGACGATCAAGTCAATACTCAATATCTCTCAAAGATAACCAATAGTGCTCAACTCACTAGACAGAATATCAAAAGCATAAAAGACATACCTTAGACCCATGAGGGTGCTTCTCTTTTATAGCCAACATAGTCCTAGTCCCAATAGAAGCCTAGCTCCAATGGACTTAGGATTACTGCTAATCTTGGACCCCCAGTTGAATTAGGATAAACTTTCTAAGAGTCTTATCTTAATCCAAACTGAAGTCTTCTCCCATTCTAGGACTCTTGTCCCTTATCTGCTTATCTCGGATTCCGGTATTTTCAGAGATAACATCGGCCTTGCCGAGATCACCTCGGCGTCATGACCAGGACACGTGGCACCTCAGCTAGCACTTCGGTGACACCTCGACCACGTGTCGTTATTCAAAATTTTTGTGTCCCCACAATATATATATATATATATTATTTACTGTTTGATTTTATTTTTTTTCAATATGTAAATAATAAAACAATAAG